GGGGGGGTCAGAGGTGGGGGGGGTCTCCTACTGTGCTACCATCTTAGTGAGGTGAAGAAGAGAACTGGACCACTGCTCATTTAAGGTTTAGAACACACACACACACACACACACACACACACACAGAGCAGTGATCAGGAGTGTGTGTTTGGCTTCTACACATAAACATACAATTTAAAAAAATACTATTTTCTAACGGAAGGAATTTTAAGAATTTCTGATTATATAAGTGCAGGTCAAAAGGTCAAAGACAAATTTAAAAAAAAGTCATTGATGAAAAAACACAGATCTTTCTTTCACACCTGCTCACAACGAGTTCCCTTTAAATGTTCTTTTATTTTTGAAGAATCATTAAAAATCTGATGTTTTCTCTGATGAAAATTATTGTTCATTTGTTCATTTAAAAAAATGATAACGTCTATTTCAGACATTTATCCTTAGACTTGACTTTGCTCTGAATAGAGAAACTCAATGTTCTTGCAAAACGCAAAAAAGAAGAAGTTCAATTTATTATGAAATATAGAGAACGTGAAAAACGCAGTACATTCAGGCAAATGATACTTCATTTTATACCTAATTTTATTATTAATATTTTTTCTTATTTTTTAAAATCCTTTTTTATCCCATGCTGAAGATTTTTGTTACTAATATTTATAATTTAAACCATAACAAACAGAAATGTATATAAATTAGATGGTTAAAGATTTCACTGTGACAACAACATTTTGTCAAAATTATAATTTTTTGGATTTTGTATATTTAAAATATGTGCTAAAAATGAATATTATCAGCTTTGGTAAAAAAAATAAAAAAATACAACCTGCTTCATGTTTCAGTTTTTGAGTCTGACCTTAAACTGAACATGTTGAAAACAAAAAAAAGAAAGTGCAGTATAATTAGTGAGTGGACCAGGAGTCAGTGGGCTGTGTAATTGGGTGACATTTTTTCTTGCCTGTCTCTGTCCCTGTCTGTGGTCAAAGGCTCGGTGGGTCAGTGGCAGTGGCCTGAATATTTCCCAGACTGTGCTGGAACGTCTCAGTCGCCCGTTGACGTGGTAACCACCCAGACTAAATATGACCCCAGCCTGGGTCCTGTGACCCCACTGGGCTACGACCAGCACAACAACCGGCCCTTCACGCTGTATAACAATGGACACACAGGTAACTACAGCACACCCTGTGGGGGCGGAGCAGCTCTATGTAGTACTTCACAGTAGTAATACTGCATCCTCAGACAGACACGTAGTAACGAGGAAGAAACACCTGAAGGAGGTGTACTTACAGTAGAACTCATGAACTCCTCTCTCCTTCAGTTGGACTGGAGCTGCCAGAGTGGATGGGTCTGGGGGGGCTGCCCTGGCTCTTCACAGCTGTACAACTGCACCTCCACTGGGGCAGCGGCGGCCCCGGCCGAGGGGGCAGCGAACACACCATCAACGGCCTGAGTGCAGATGCAGAGGTAAAATATATATAAAACATATTTATATATATATATATATACCAAAAATAAAGTGTGATGGTTCACTCCAATCAGATGAGGAAACGTCTTCTTTGAGAAAATTTCACATCCAGTTGCCTAACAGAACCCTTCATATTTATACATATTTATCACTCCATCATAGAAGAGAATAAAGAAGAAAAGCTTGTACTAATTCTCCTGTGAGGCAGCAGAAAAGGTAAACAGTGACAGTGTCCAGTTCACTCCCTGTCCATCTGTCAGTGTTTCCTGCCAACTCACCATATTCTGCAGGGCTGAGTGGACAGTCAGTGTCTCACAGTGAGGGAACACAACCAGGACCTGGGAACACAGAAGAAGATGAACATGAAAAAAACAAACAAAAAACATCTGAATATATTTTCAATTTCAGCAAAAGAAACTGACAAACACTTTGTGTTTAATGAGACTTTTAAAATATTTGAAAAATCAAAACCTTATTATTAGTGTTTTATTCTTCTGTGTCTTTGGCATCAAAGTGACGACACTCACCTCCTCCTTCTCCTCCTCCAGCTCCACGTGGTTCACTACAACTCGGAGCTCTACCCCAACATGTCTGCGGCCGTGACACAGCCCGACGGCCTGGCTGTGTTGGGGATTCTCATCGTGGTAAAGCATCATCAGCTGAAGAACTGACACGTTCACTGTCTTTACTCTGAGAAATGTCTGTGTTCACAGGCGGGTGAGGAGACCAACCCAGCATTTAACAACATTCTCAGCTACCTGAGCCGCATCAGACACGCAGGTAACACAGTGGAATTACACATGAAACAATGTAAAATATATTTAATTTGGCTACCAGATAACTCTTGGTATAATATCCGTGGTAAAACTCAGAGCATTTTTGAGCAATAAAATATCTGAAAATAAGCACAATAATACTAGTATTGAATATGGTGTGCAAACGTTTTAAAAGGCGCCCCCTACTGGCCAGGGACTTGAATGTATATTTTTAATGTCAATAAATAACATTGTGTTGGACAGAATTAGTTTAATTGTGCACTGAAAAAATAAACACATTATTTATGAGCTACTGTGTCAACAACCAGGCAACAACTTCACAAAGATGTAAACAAACAAACAAACAAACTATTCTGTTTCTCAGACCAGAAAACCTTGATCCCGGCCTTTGACGTCCAGTCCCTGCTCCCTAAAGACCTCAGGCGCTACTATCGCTACAACGGCTCCCTCACGACACCGCCCTGTCATCAGAGTGTGACCTGGACACTCTTCCGTGAGAGGGTTCAGATCTCAAAAGCTCAGGTGAGGCGAATTTCAGGTGAATCTTTGAGAATAAAAATCATACAACTTTACGATCATAAACTTTGGACTTTGTCCTAATGTAACTTTTTTTGCTCGTAAAAAAAAAACCATACAAACTTAACTTGCAACTTACAAGAGTAGCAGATACAGGTACACAAGCCTAGAGTGCCCTCTAGTGGCTGTCAATGTGAAAATAAAAAACATGTGAAAATATATATTTTAATATATAAGTTGCAACTGAGTATAAGTCGCACCAGCCAAAGGATTAAAAAAAGGTGCGACTTATTTGTAAACTTTTGTTCATGTAAGACAGAAACAGTTTGGTGATGGACACTGACTGACCTCGTCTGTGACTCTGTGACCGTCTGTAACCAGTCTCCTCTTCGTCTGTCTGCTGCAGCTGATTAAGATGGAGACGATGCTTCACTCCAGCAGAGCTGAAGATGATGACGGGAAGATGCTGCAGGACAACTACAGAGCAATACAGCCGCTCCACCACAGGGTGGTGCTCACTTCCTTTTCTGCAGGTCAGATAGACACAAAAAAAAGAAAGTGTTGAATTTTAAACTAGTTTTTTTAATGGTAATGGATTGTGAGGCAATGAAAAAAACAAAACAAAACACCACAGTATTGACTGCAAACAGTAGCATGGAAATGTAAACCTGAGCCTGTGATCACTACATAATCCCTGAAAAGTGAAATGTGGATAAGGCACGTGGGAAACAGTTGGGATTTCCTGTGGTTCAGTCAGAGTTTGTTTGTTGGCAGATTTGTTGATGGGATTTGGTTTAAAAAACCAAACACTGACTTCATTGTTAACATGCGAGTCTAACAAGGAAAACGAATGAGGCAGAGAGCAGGGAGTCCGACAAAGACAAAGGGGAAAGAATCTTGGTTGAAGTGCTCTTTGTAGAGAGTGACTGAACTGGAAGAACTGTGATGTCAGCACGACAGGAGGGGCAGCAGAACTGACCAGACACAACATTTAGATCTGGGCTCAGGATCCAGTCCAGTCCTGGTGTCTACAAACTAATTCTTAAATTTATTTTTCATCAAATACATTTCTGTTAAATCAGAATATCCAGGGCATTATTTGCAAAAAAATTGGCTGTGTTTGCAAACTTAACCTATTTCTAGCCTAATCGTTGAGAGTTGTTTATCTGGTTTTATCTTCTAAATTTAAGTACTTTGCTGAGGTTACTTGTCATTATTTACTCCTCTAATTATTACTGTCGCATTTTCCAATTTATTATTAACTATATTGAACTTTTTGGTCTCTGGTTTTTCTGTCTATTTTGACAATATTCTTTTTTATTTTGTGGCTAATATTGGCTTCTGATGCTAATTATCATCCTAATCCATTTTGGACACCTTTTCTGGCTTTTGACTTCACAAATAACAAAAAATATAATTATTTATTTTTATATAGAATTCGAATAAACTAATTGTTTCCCTTAATTATTGATAATTGTTGATAGGTTTAACTGCTGGTATCTATATTATACACAAGACTCTACGTTCATTTCATAACCGTTTACCGTCTGTTTCTGTCTGTGTAGAATCAGGGGAGCAGCTTTCATCTGGTAAGACCCACAAAAAAATTATATAATTGTGTTTTTACATCAATTAATCAGCCCAGAATTTCACAATCGGTGCCTCCCTCGTTAAAACATATCGATATAGATGTGTGTTTACATCTCTGTCTCCCCCTGCAGGTGAAGTCACAGCCATAGTGATCGGAGTGATGTGTGGCTGCGTGGCTCTGGCCGTGGTCGTTCGCTTCATCGTGAAGACGATAAAGTAAGAAATGTTTCCTGCTCTGGTTTGCGCTCGATTAGCTCCCTGCTGCCTCTAGTGGCTGCGTCAGAAACCTGCCTCTAGTCGGCTGTTGTTCTGGATGAAGTTGAATCAGCTGAAATAATCCTCACTGTTGTCTGCTATCTTCTGTGTTCTGGCAGGTTTTTTACTCTCCTCCACAATGACTCACTTGCAGTAAACAGGTGCTCTGACTCAGCAGTGTCGCCAAAAATATGAAGTACTCACTCAGACTCACCTGTTTATTTAAATTTATAACTTTTTATGTTTTGGTTTAACAGACTTCCTTAAGTGCAAATCTTGGCTACATTGAATAATTGTAAGATAATATGCAACGGCAAATTGGGAAAGTACAAATACTGCACCACCTCTGAGGCCTCGCTCCACACTTTGGGAACCTTAAACTGGAAGCTATTTGTTGACACTGATATTTTTGTGTAAATTATGGGCAAATTCTTTTATGATACAGATCGAAGGCCACTTTGTTTAACGGTTTAATCTGATGCAAATAATTTTTGAATGAAATTTCCAGTAAGTGTAGTACTCAAAAAAATATTTTTTGAATGAAATTTCCAGTAAGTGTAAAATTGCCTGATTAATTTTCTGGAAATGGAACAAACCAGTGGTTCTCAAACAGTGGTGCGCCATTGGGTGAAATGCACACAGGTACCGTTCCACATACATGCTACATGTGAGATGAGCACTAAGGATAGTCCGACCTTTTGACCTTTTGATGCACCATCATGGCTGCCGTTCTAATGTCCTTTAACCAACCTGATGACTCATCAAACACCACTGCTGTTAACCAAACACTGAATGACATCAACCTGTTCACCACCTTCACCAAGGTTCAGTTCCCTGAGCTGCGTGACTTCACCCTGAAGGAAAAATCAGTTCCGTCGTCGACCTAATGGAGTCTGGCAGATCAATAATTCCAAACTGAAATTCCTCCTTCTTTGATGAATTAAAAAAAATCCTTTCATTTTCTCAAGGTTTTTGTGAACCTGTTTTCACATGAGGAGGATTTCCCTTTGGTAACAACAGTGTTCCTCAGACCAATCATCAGTGTGTAATTATCCACATGCTCCTCCTCCTGCCTTTGAAGATGTTTCCCCCCTCCGTGTCTGAGTCATGTGATTTTTGTCTTGTGACAGCTCTACCTCTAGCTGGGACATCCTGCCCAGCAACCGTCCTGCTCCCACGCCAAGGTCACTGTTCAGAATTATGACCCCTGACCCTGAAAACATTCACTCTGACATCGCACCCGTACATTTTCCTCAACATGGTCCTTTGCTTAACCGACCGTTTGTCTTTATCCTCTTATCGCAGAACCCTAACATGTCTGTTAGAGTATTAGTGTCTACTGAATATTTTCCACTGACCAAGGAAAACTCTGTGTACTTTATAACATACTCAGAGCCTTAAAGTACATGCACTTTTTTTTACATCTAACAAAGAAAACTTTTGTCTCTGTCATCTAACACTGCTTCCTGCTATTTACAAAATATGAAAATGCTATATATTTTAATATATATTTTTATATATGTACATACACACAAACACATATGTACATATATACACATACATATATGTGCATATATGCACATATATTGACATATATGTGCATATGTATATATATATATATATGTGTATAGGTATATATATATACATATATATGTATATATGTGTATATATATATACATACACAAAAAGCGTCATACATGTATAAAATTACATATACTGTATGTATGTATACACATATATATTTATGCATACTAGGCTATATATACATACATTTTTAGTTTTGAATAGTTTTATAAAGTTCTGCAGAAAATTAAAACATGTAATTAAGGCCGAACTTGATTGAAAAATACTCTGCAACACATCTACAGTTTTCAACATCACAAAACAACTAATACATTATTTATTATTCTATCATAATTAAAAGTATTAATTACGCCTTTGTTTTGATTGTTGTTGCAGAGTGAAGAACCCGGAGAAAGAACCGGAGAAAATACAGGACGTGGTTCTGAACTGCACCTCCGACGGAGAAAAGAAAGAAGAGCCGACGTCATCTCCTCAGACCGAGCCTTAGCTCCGGGGGGTCTCGTACCGACAGACTTTCTCTGACCACCACTGACTGAATGAGGCGGTCAGTGATTCCTGAGACAGAAATTGAACTCTCAATCTTGGAAAAATAGGAATAATGTGGACAGACATCAACCAGACAAATCACCTTCGTCCCGGTCACTCGAGTGATTTCTGTATTTTCCGTCACCCTTCGAAAAAAAAAAACCCTCAGATGTCGTCCATCTTTTTGCATTTCAGGCCATGGAACTGTGTGCGTTTATAGCGCCACCATCCAAGGTTTGACGTCGTGTAAATACCTTGTAATTTATAAAGTATATATTCTTGTTTGTTTTTTTAATGTTTGGACTTTTTTTCTCTCTCTCTGCCTAAAATTGTAAAATAAGAAAGAGTCCTAGTCAGTTTAGTCTCCTGAAACCTGTCTCCTATTGGACAGCCTTTAGCTGTCAATCACACATGCTTTATCATCTATTTTACTCTAGACAGAATTTGAATAAATCAAAAATGCCTACTTTTGTTTAATAAGAATCTAATTCTAGCCTCCGAGACAATTAACTCCTCAGGAAAATAGGTGACCACGCAGACCAGTCCGTTTCTTATGTAGCGTCTATGGATGAAGTGAACACTGGACATGGTTTCATTAAATAAAGTCACTTCTTTACCTAAAAACCAACATGATGTCATTTGCTTAGAGTTAATACAGAAGTGTTCTTTCAGTCACTGTTGCAAATGTTGTGGTTGATGTCTTGAATTTGTAAATAAATGTTTTATTTTGGGTTTTCTTTTGGTGATAACATCGTCATCTCACATGTTTGTGTTGTTATTATACTGGATGATAAGAGAACGTTAGCATTTTCAGCCTACCTTACACTGACATCTGAACAGATGCTGCCTCTGGATTTGGTTTTGGTCTTGACAAATGGTCCTGAAAAAAAAAAGCAAATATGATTAAAATAACAATTACTAATAATTACTATACAATTACTATCATTTCGACCTTTCCTCATCACTACTTGATGACCCTTCGACTTTAGTAAAAATGTGTTAGTAATTTAGGCACCTTATCTATTTATTTATTAGATTAGATTCCTCTACATAACACTAGAGGGAGCCCAAGTACCACCAGAGGTATGCATACCACAGTTTGACCACCACAGAATGACACGGTGCAAGTGACGTCAGTAGAGTTCCGATTTTTTTTTTTTAAAATCCTTGAATCTCTTACACTTGAAAATCCAAACTTTAACTGCACACGTTTTTGATTTAAGTATTAATGTTTGCTGCCATTTTGATATGATTTTAGCTTCAGTTGATCAAATATCAAAATGATACCAAATACACTGAAATATTTCACCTTAACTGAAGTAAGAAGTAATACTTTATTAAGAGTAAAAACACTGTACTGTGTACTTTAGACGAATGCAGATACACGAAGGTAAAAACAGAAAGTATTCGTCGCTGTAACTTGATGACGATTCTTTTTATAGGCTGCTCTCTGGCACAGCATTGTGGACAGAATTATGCAGTGCAAACGTAGTTGAGGGCACACCCGTTAACAGGAAGTAGAATGAGAAAAATGTTCAACAAACGTAGTTGAGGGCACATCCGTTAACAGGAAGTAGAATGAGAAAAAAAAAACAGAGAAGAAGACACTCCAGCTGGGACGAAGGTCAGACGGAGCTTCTGCTAAATTAAGGTTAGGACCGTGTTTTTAAAAAACTCTCCTGCTTTCAGATCACTGAATAGAAGAAAAAAAAATAGAAGACTTTGTCCCGACACGGAGTGTAAACAAAGTAGCTCCGAAAAAAGAAAAAGTCTGAGTGTAGTCTGTTGTTTTTATTGTTATGAATCCAATATTCTGTCACCTTACAGTGATGATAGATCAAATCACAGGTTTGTGTTGTTTTTATATGAGATGATGGGACAATGCTAGCGTGCTAACATACTGTACATTTATTAGCATTAAGTTGTTTTTCAACCCGGACAATCAGCGTTTGGTTTTCAGCCATGTTACACTGACATCTGACCCATAGATGTCGCTCATAACAGAGTTGTAAATATCGCCTTTTATGGTCATACAGGTTTTCTGGACCATGGCTGCTTTTCGGTCTTTTATCACCCTAACCCTCTGTGTGCTGCTGGGACGTCAGACATTTGCCAAAAACGATTCCCCCTGCGAGCGTTCCAAATGGAACAACGGCTTTAACACCTTTCTCAAACGTCACATCCGCTCCGGCCTGCCCACCACCCTGGACGACAAAAGTGAATGGATGTCATACATCAGGAACAACGGGGGCTGCGACAGACCCACGCAGTCCTTCCTCCACCCCAAAGAGCTGGACCGGGTCAAGGCTGTGTGCACCAGCGCGGGCGGCAGCACCTACAAGGAGAACCTGTGCATCAGCCGGCAGCCTTTCACTTTCGTCACGGTGAGGAGTGAACCCGGAACCTGCGGCATCAGGAACGTCCGCCAGGAAACCAAACACCTGATCCTGGCCTGTGAGGTTCTGGAGAACCAGTGTGTGCCCGTGCATTTTGAAGGAAACCCTGAAAACCTGAAGCCCAGTAACAACGCCAGAGGCTGCCAGGATCCCAGGACCGGCGGGCGGGCGGCCGGTCTCAGGATGACGTGGCTGCCGCTGGTGTCGGCTCTTCTTCTTCTACTACTGGTTTATGGCTTTTAACTGTTTTAGTTCCAGGTTATAAATATAATTCTTTAGAAGAAACCAGGTTTGGACTTTGAGTCCTGGACCTGGTGAAGATGTGGTTGGAGAAAGAAAGGGGTAAAAAAAAAATTCTAAATTGATTTGTGCTGGATATATTACACATCTTTCCACCATGCTGGTCAGTAGGTGCCGCTGTACACAAGGAATTCTTCTCTCTGATCCACAGTGTTATTTGACAAAACACATTTTAAAATATTTGAAAAAAAAATTCTTCTTGTAAAAACATAAATAGAGGCCAAATCAGAGAGAGGAAAACGAACGCTTAGCGGCTTTAAATGTTTACAAAGGGATATTATTGCACTTTTATATTTTTATATATGGAGAAACCAGAGTAAAGTGTTAACATTTAATGTATCAGTTTTAGTTAAAGATGAACAACATGAACCACATTTTTAACCACAAATTTGAAAAAAAAAGTAAAATTACTTTCATACCATTGAATGTGTGCATGTGATAACAACAGGTTACAGTGACAGACGTGACAGTAAAGTCACACACTGACACACTGACCCACAGAGCTGCTGTTGTAAAATAAAGGACGGCATTTATTAAAGGGATTTGTTCAAAAATGAATTAAAGATGAATGAATATTCACACTGATCCAGTCTCTCTGTCTTTCACTTGTTGAACAGCTACAGTCACTTCAGCCATTTTTGTGTGTTGAGACATTTTGCAGGTCTCCCACTGAGTGAGGTTTAATTTGGAGTTAGGATTAGACATTTAGTCTAGAGCTGAAAGTAAAGTTAAAGTTGTGATTGTGTTGTTTGTATAGAAGTTAGTGGAAAAGAATTCAAAACCATAACTGTACAGAACAGTTTCATTATCTGTATTAGAATTGTGTATGTTAAACACATATATATGTATAAACTAAAGCTTATACATATATATGTGTGTGTGTATATGTATACATCTATATATATAAAGTTTATACATATATACATTTACATTTATGCATTTAGCAGATTTATCTATAGTAGTATAATACTAAACTGGGAGACGCTACGTTACCAGTTTAGTACCACTTGGTGGCAGCAGAGTCACATTTAACCTATGACTGACGCCAAGGAACTGATGACGTAGGTCCAGTGAGTTCAGTTCAGTGTTTACAGTAAAGACCGTGTCACAAACAACTGACTGACTGATGACGGCGGTGCGTTTGGGTTCCAAGAGGATTGAATTCTCCATGGAAATAAAAGAGGACAGAAAGAATTCAAACTTTTGTCTGAAGTCTCTAAGCTGTGTATATATATTATTATATATATATGTATATACATATTACATACATATATATATTATATATAAATATATATATACTTATATATATATATATTTGCCTGAGCTGATTGCCATGTTGAAGGATCTCTGAGCATCATCATCATCATCATCATCATCATCATCATCATCACCATCATCATCATCACCTTCATCATCAGTTCCTCTTCTCTAACTCATGACTCTGTGTCCTGACAATGGAACACTTGTGTGTTTCAGTTTTCTGACCTGTTTCTCCAGAGTCATGGAAAAGTCATGTGATCCTGCAGAAGCAGCAGAATTAGAATTCACTTGGAGGCGTTCTCTGTCCAACAGAGAGCAGCGTCCTGTTCAAGAGCACAGACACAGACACAGACACAGACCACTGACCAACACTTACTATCAAGGTAAACACAGCACAGACAAGACTCAAACTGGTCACATGACCTTACAGTCAGCAGAGACTGATGAATAAAAACTGAACTGAATAATAGCTGTTAAATGAGAGACGTCTGTCTCTCTGTCTGTCTGTCTCTGAAGGACACACATGCAGAAGAGACACGTGTCCTCTTCTAAACGTCTCCCTCCTCTTTCCCCTTCACTTCCTGTGGAACTGTAAAGTAATTCAGCGTCATTCACGCCACACAATGACTGTTTTACAGTGTCGTCATCACGCAGCGCCTCAGAGGAACCGCGGGTTTATTACACTGCAGGTGGCAGCAGACAAACCGCTGGAAGACGAGAGGAGGTGGACACGGACAAAGAGCTAAGTCACATGTTGGACTGTGGCTGAGGACGAAGGAGCGAGACGAAGACTAGATCTGCTGTTTCCTACACAGAGAAAGAAGGTTTGAGATTTTCAGACCTGAGGAGAGGAAGGAAATGAGATGCAGGAAATGAGATGTTTTTAAATTAATTTAAATAGTAATAGAGTCTATATTTAATGAAACACTTCTGTATTATTTGGACCATAAACGTCTCTTTCCATTTGTCTCCAGGCTCTGGTTCTGTTCTGTTCTTCCAGACCAACTCATAACAAATGACCGTGATAATTAAAATCACAGAGGCTGCAGAGGAGGGAGGAGGAGACGGGGGAGGAGAGGGGGGAGAGGCAGCGCTGAAGCATAAAAGGAATAGCGTGTGAGTGACACGGGCGTCTGGGTGTAACAGCACAGACACAATCTCAGAGGTTCGACCCAGAGTTTTTTTGGCGCCGTTCACTAAAAGTACTTCCTGGAGACGGTAATCAAGAGTTGGGATGATTCCCATATAAGTTTTATCATATAAGTGAGGAAACAGGAAACAAAACAAATGTGCACAGAGATTAGGTTCAGAGGGAGCGGCACCGGCCGCACAGGAACCACTTCCCACACCCCAGAGAAACACCATCGTTGTCCACAGGCTGCTGGAACTTTCTGGTACTCACCCTCTGAGTGGGTCAACCAATCAGTTCCAGCAGTCAGTGACACAACCATTCACACCAAAACTAATACTGCATCTCTCCTCCAGGGGGAGTAAACAAAAAAAAACAAGGGTAAAGGTTAGGGTTAAGTGTTCTCCCATTGGAGGAAACTGGAGTTGGGAGAGGACCAGAGAAAAAAAACTCATGCACTCCATTCAAAAAGACTGGGAATCAAACCAGAAGAGCACTGACCTTCTTGCTGTAAAGCAAGCGTGCTTAACACATCTGCCACCGTGCAGCCTACAGTGTCACCATGTTGTCAGAATCTGGTGTCAAACGGTCTGTTCTGCCTGTTTTGTCATTTACGCCATGGGTCCCCAATCTCTGGTCCACGGACCAGAACTTGTCCACAGGTCATTTGGTACCGAGAACTTTTTACTAATTTAAATAATTTCTTTATTTGAAGATAATCTGGCAACATTTCAAAATAATAAGTCAATCAGACACTAACAGAATGTGAGTAAAAACACACAAGGTTGGGGACCGCTGATCTACAGAACCGACAGAACCGACTGACGGTCAGACCACTGATCTACAGAACCGACAGAACCGACAGAACCGACTGACGGTGGACCGCTCGATCTACAGACAGAACCGACAGAACCGACTGACGGTCTGGAACCCAACGCTCCAGTCATTGATTATCAGCAGCAGTTTGAACATATTATCATCTTCACGATCGCGTCATAATCAGCGGTAAACGTTTTGACCTGCTTCACCTCGGTAGGACAGCTTCGTACACGAGTTCCCAGAGGGAGAGAGAAGGAAACGCACGCACTCTAATTGTCCTTCCACTTGGCAACGCCGATCGGTATCTGTCAGATTTCTGCAGCTACTCTGTAATATTCAACTCCATTCATGAAAAAAAAAACAAAAAAAAAAACACAAGACGTGTGTGTGCTGGAGCCTGCACGAGCACGCAGACGTCAACGGAGAAAACGCAGAAGCATCCTGCAATTACAGCCTTCGGCCTCATCATGTCCTGAATCAACGTTTTCTTTTCTTTTTTTAATTTGCACAATTTTAAAGAGGATTTTTGACAGGATGAGACACACAGACACTGTCAGAGAAGCTCACACACACACATGCAGGTTGTTTAACGCAGTCATCTCCTCTAATCAGACCCACATGGTTGGTCAGGCCGGCGTGCCCAGCGCCCACTGGTGGTCAGTCTGGCTGTGGATGTGGCAGTTAGCTGTGCACGCCTCGCTGCACGGTGGCTTCAAATCCCTTCGACTTGTGACCTCTTAAAACTCAGAATGTCCTTGTAATAAAATGTGTCACATGCTGTAAACGACCGTGTGGTGTGGGTTGTATTTCTGGAGGGAAAAAAAAGTCCCAGAATTCACTGGAAAAGTGCAGAGATTCTAGAAAAGGGGCAACGCTTTATTTTTTATTTTTTTCGTTAATTTTTTTTTTACGACCACCCAGGGAGGTTCAAACCATTCCACTGACACCGAGGTAAATCGGAGGAGAAAGATATTTTTTCCACATGCATTAGCACTTCTTCCCCAGTGGCTTCCTCCGAGGCTAAAGGCCACAGATAATGACTTCCAGGAGCGGCCGATAGGAAAAGGACGGGGTCAAGTCCACATCTAGGATTTCCAGAGTGAGTGGCGTTTCACCGCGGGTCTTCAGGACATGACTGAGTAGAGAACGCCACTAACATCCATGAGTTTACTGTTCACTCAGCCTCTGGTTTCATTTTTTTTTCCACATCTGAGACGTGTACACACTCGTTACTGTTTCCCAAAAAATTGTGATTCACTGCGTATCAGATTTGTAATAGGACGCGAGGACGCAGAGGTTAAAAAACCGCCTGTAGTTTATTTCACAATCCAGTTTGGACGCTCCCCAGAAATAACATACACCTTATCGTATAAAGAAGAGGAAACAGGAAAACAAATGTGGCTAAAGATAAGGTTCACAACCGTTCAAACCGGTGAGCGTTGGTGCGGTGAAGAAAACGGCGAGTTCCCAAACGGACGAGAAAAAAATAATTTTTACAAGTTTCTCCAAATATAAAATCGCAGATATTTATATAAAAACGTATGTAGCCAAGTCACACGGTCACTCACTGTGAGAACTTCACTGGTCTGCCACTAGTGGTCACTAATGGTCTTTCTGCATGCGTATGGGTTTTCTCCTGGTACTTCATATAATAAAGCAAACTTATACAAATACCTATTAAAATAATGAAATGTTTGGATCATGATATTGACATTTGACAGGTCGAGACCAGTGGTTCTCAAACTGTGGTACACATACCACCGGTGGTACGCAGGGAAAATTCATATCTTCACATTTACATTTACATTTTCAATTGAATAAATCTGAAACATACCGTGCTCAGTTAATACAACATTTAGAAAAAAAAATATGTAGCTACTTGTGAGATGATGAAATAGGCCTTTTTATTAATGTACTTGTTTTTTTTTTGCTGCAATGTAGGTCTGTCGCTCACATGAGCACAGGCAGCACGGAATCATGGGATCACTTGCGAGTTGAACGTGAGCCGAGGAGGGGGAATTCTACTGTTGGTCATCGTGGTGGAACTCAGAGCTCAGTGTTTTCTCAGGTGGAACAGAGTATAAAAAGTTTGAGAATTTTTTTTTTCTTTTCTTTTCTCAAAACTGATAGAACTTTTGAAAGGAACTGGATTTCAGTCCTGAGACGAGGCAGAGAAGCAGGAGGTCGAGACCTGGTGCCAAAAAACATTCCCCAGAATTCTAAAACCAGGAATTCTCTGGAAACACCGCTCACAGTTCGCTCAATTTGTCTTAAAACTTTTCGACTTCCAGTTGTACTTCCTCCTTCGCTCCCTCAGCTCTGCGTGTGTGTGTATGTGTGTATGTTTTCACAGATTCCTCCCTGTTCAAGTGTATATATTTTTTAATGTAAACAAGTGAAAATAAAGCCAGTTCCACTTTCAGGAGGAGCAGCCTCAGACTGAGAGTCTCTGGGTTGACACTCGTCAATATCAGTTACCGTCAGGAGGGGGAGCAGCCAGACGCAGGTAGGCAAACAATAGAAGTGAGGAGTAAAGGTGTGGAAAATAGTTGGACGCCAACTGGAGGAAATGAAGACGAGTGAAACAAAGTTGGCGGCGAAGGAGCAAAACGATACGCGGCGTCTGTGTGAGGACAGAGGAGTCTCTCTTCACAGATCTGAGGCCTTCATTCTTCCACCGTCTCTCCATCTCTGTCACTCTCTGTTTGATCTCTGCTGACTCACTCTCCCTTTCTCTCCCTCTCCCCCCTCCAACAATGAAATGACCTGCAGTCCAGACTCTAACTTTCTCCCTCTCCCCCCTCTGCTTTTCTTTCTCCTGCTCTCCATCTTCTCCCCTTCTGATTTCCTCCTCTCCCTCTCTTCAACATGCTTGAGGAATGTGTCAGAGCAGCACAAAAGAACAAAAGCTTGAGGAAGAAGAAGAAAAGAAAGAAGGGGGAGGAGGGGGAGGAGAAGGAGGAGGGGGGAGAGAAAGTTGAGTGGAGGTAAAGGGGAGACAGAAAGGTTGAGAGGAGCAGAGTCACGGATGAACGGCTCTGAATGGCGAGCGGTGCTTTGTCATCACGTGCTGACGTCCAGCATCTCACACACACACACACACACACACATCTTTATCGGACCCTTCCCTCTGAAAAAAAAACACGCACGCATGATGAGTGAGGCCGCCGCGGGTGCAAATGTGCGGCGCTGCCTGTTGGTTATGTCATGGTAATACGCTGGACGCCTGCGGGGGGAGCTGCAGATGAAGTTCTCAGCGGCAGACAGCGCTCCATTGTCACCTTTGTTCCTGCGTCAGTCACTCTAGAACCTGGGCCCCGTGATCGATTCCCCGGGGTTCTGAAGAGACCGCGTCGGACGGACCACCGTAGCTGCGGTAAATCAGACTCACGCTGAGCTTCAAGAAACATATAGACTGTGGTAAAGGGGCAGTTCAAGTTTGTTTTAGCCGTTACAACGTGAGCAAACGCCGCTAACTGGTCGTGATCAACATCTGCACACTGGGAAAATGTCAAATGACTGAACTAAAATTTTAAATTCTTTTTTTTTTATTGTCTGTAGTATGAAAGCTAATATCAGCCTGCACACTCTCCTGGGAAAATGATGTCAAATGACTGAACTAAAATTTAAAATTTTTTTTTTGTCTGTAGTATGAAAGCTAATATCAGATCATTTTTTTGCAGCCCCTAGTGTTTAAAAAACATCATCTTTGTCTGTTGCCCCACAGAAGTGATCACAGACATTTATCTGTCCTCGTGGTCCAGACACTTTTTGGACTAACATTATTATTTAATGTTTAGTTTATAATCCAGTTGCAGGCTGGATTGGATGGTTCAGTGGACCAAACTGTGGCCGCAAGCCACCAGTTTATGACGACTGCCTTTGAGCAAGAAGATGAATGGGTTAATTCCAGTCTTTTAGTTCGTTGTTTTTCTCATGAACCAACAACACATTAAATAATAATTAATGACTTAATATCGATCATAGGTTTAAGTCTGAGAAAAAAATCGTTGTTTGTGTTGATGTGTGGTCCCATGATGGACTGAAGAACTGACCTTTGACCCTGAGAAGAACCAAGGCAGTGAAGATTGAATGAATGTCTTCGTAATAGAGAAAAAATTTAATATATTTTCATATATTTTTCTTCTCTCAATCTTACTGGATATATTTCTATTTCTCTGCGAAATCTAAGCTGTTTTTTATCTGCAGGACCAAAAAAAATGGTAAAAATGTAATTTTTTTTTTTTTTGACAGAAGCAGCGTGAGAACCGCAGTTTGTTCTGAAGGCTAATCTCTGATGTTTGGACCGGGAAGACGGTGCGAAGACGAGCTGTGACGATGACGTGATGCGCGGCTAAGAACGTGCGTGCGCGCGCGTGAGAGAAGGTGCATTGTTCACATCAAACAGAACCGCGGGATTCGAACCCAGATCTGAGCGAATATCACGTTCCCTCCTCTTTTTGTCACCTTTGATCAGCAACATGTCTTTGTTGAACGTTCTGACACTGAGCCGGTGTTGGTGTTGGGCTGTGAGTGTAACCTACACGGACCTCCTCCTCCTCCTCCTCCTCCCCCTCCCCCTCCTGCCCACCGGTCTCCAGGGACACCTCAGTCCGGGTGGAGCGGAGCGGATGGGATCATCCATCAGGAGTCAATAGTTAACGTCGGCTTTGTCCCCGCTGACATCAATCATCTGCGGGTGCGTGTCCGTGCGCGTACGTGTAGCGTGTGCGTGTCAGCGTGTCTGTGTGTGTTCTTTATTGGTCTACCTCCGACCCCGCGGGCCCCTGACCCTGGTCTGTCTGATGACGCGCAGCGCCAAATGCCACAGCGTCTCCCGCGTCTCCTCCTCCTCCTCCTCCTCTTTTCTCCCCAGCTTCCGTCCGAACAGCGGGGGGCAAAAAAAAAAGAAAGAAAAAAAAACTAAGGAGATATCGTCAACGTGTCCTCACCCTCGGCTCCCCCGCGGGTCCACGGTGTGTCCTCTCTCCGGTCAGTCCACTCGTGGGTGACCACAGACTGTCTCCCACTAACACTGCTTTTTATCTTTATGACAAATCTCCGTGGAGTTCGAGGGCGGGGGTGGAGTGGAGTGGAGTGGGGTATAAGTGCGCGTGTTTCAAAGGTTCATTTTATGATTCTTCATTTTTCAAGTCCTGACCTCAGTGACCACTCAACTGGATTGACGTCATATGACACGCGAAATCTAGAATCGAACCCACAACCCTCCGGGTTAAAATCTTTTAATCTTTTAACATCTAAAATGACTGGCGTTAAATCTACTCCTTCAGAAACATCTGAAGAAGAAAAAAATTAAAAATTAAAGAAGTCCGTGAGGCAAATGTAGAAATTAACTGTAGTAAATAACAGAGATAAAGACCTGATCATAATTACAGGTGCAGACAAAGGAGACCGGAAATGACAGGTCTGTGTTTGTACCCAAATAATACCCACACAAGGCAGTCGACTGGTTCCTCCTTCACACCACACTGCCAAGACCTGTCCTCTCGCCTGATTACCCTCTTACCCCCCCCCCCATCTTTCCTCCGGACTTATTCTGTCAACAGACATGATCTGTTTTGCAGCGGAGTCGTTTAATGAACTGAAAACTGGCTCTGGACCAGAAGAAGAAGAGGAAGTAGAAGAAGAAAAAAGAAAAGAAGGAAATAATGAACTCTAAAATCAGTTTTCTTCCGCGTGCACGTCACTGCTGCTGCCAATCACACGCACGGAAAACGTGAAGGCAGCGCTGCGCTGCTGCATGCCGCCTGCAGGGGCGTGGTCCTGGCTGAGAGACCTGACTGTCATCTGTTGCCTCCGGGGCGTGGCTTTTTTGGGGGGGGGGGGGGGGGGGGGGGCGGTGTGCCCCCCTCCTCACCCCTCCCCACTCCCCCGCCCCTGCGCCATTCATTTGGAGCGCAGTGGTTTTTAACGTGCACTTGATGAGAGAGCAGCGCGCACAGTTGGACACTCGTCCAGGAGAGACAAGGAGACGGAGACACGGCGGATCAGAGAGCACGAGTCACTCGAACCTGACGCGTTCACGCGCACTGACCACAGCAGAGTCCACCAAGTCAGACCTGACATTAAACAACAAACAAACAATAACAACAACAACAACGACTGACGTTTAATCTCAAACGACCTGAAACAGACATGGAGAAAAAAATCCCTGATTTCGCCGGAAACTGGGAGATGAAGAGTTCGGAGAACTTTGAGGAACTGTTGAAGGCACTGAGTAAGTACTCTCTATGTTTGCAGCCTGATTTATTTTTTGCGGTCGGATGTTTATTTATAAGATATGATAATTTTGCGCATGATGACACAGATCAGATGTGTGTGTGTGTGTGTGAGCGGGTGTCAGACACCGGCTGACGTAAGACCGGGTCAGAGGAAGACTCTCGGCTGGTCCCATCATCAGGGTTCGGCCCAAATCTGTTTGATCACGCGGGGCAGTTTTTTTTTTTTTTTTTTTTTTTACGCACGCGTGCCTAATGACGCAAACCAACCCGTTATTGTCGGGGTTTGCTGGAATCGAACCCAGAACCTTCTTAGAGTCAATCCTACAACCGCACCGGGTCAGATTCATCATCTCCCTTGGTCTCCCCCTCCAACACAATAGAGACAAACGGCTGCACATCTGTGCGCGTGCGTGCGCGTGCGTGTGTAAGGACCGTTGAGACGCGGCTGGGATACAGTACAGTGGTCGACAGAGGGGCTGAGAACCAACACCTGCTGCCGTGCACGGTTCAATAGTCAGAGTCTGTCGGTGGAAGTGAGTGACTGACTTAAATCAAATTACAGGTGTGTGTCAGTCCAGTGACGGCCACTAGGGGGGAAAACAAAAAATAATCCGCCAGATAAAAACCCCAGAAACCCCTCAATAGAAGCCAATCAGACTGTAAGAGTGAGATTAATGAGGGGAGGGGGTTGAACTGGTGTTAAAATGTTAAAAGCTGTGGCAACACGGTGGCCAAAGTGGCCAGAGCTGTTGCCTTACAATAAAAAACAATCGCTGGTTAGATTCCCAGTCTCGGTGTGTGGTTTCTCTCCAAAGACAAACAGGATTATGGGTTAAGACCACAGTGAAAAAAAACAACTGAAAACTGACCTGTGGTCTGACGTGTGGCCCAGACTGGGTGACTGTCCAGAGACGGTCAAGAAAATATCTTTCTTATCATTAGACTTAGAGTTTTGATTGGTCTACTGCACCAGTACAACTCTAACACCACTGTTTTATGACTAACAACATTTAAATCACTCCCCCTGTTTATGGTGTGTTTTTCTGCTGACTTGGTTTTTTTTTTTTTTTAAACAACAATAATATCCAACCTCTCTGCCCTGGAGAAAACAATCCCTCCTCTGTGGAGTTCTCCTGGATCTTTCTCCTACTTTATTTTTTTTTGTTCTATTATAAGGAGTTTTATATGAAACGTTGTTCCTCCACTGACAAGAACGTTGTTGCTCTCACCGACTGTGAGTTTTTTGTTACACAGATGAACTGCATTTATCATTTCTGAGTCCTAACAAAATTAATAAATATAATTGATGTAACTGACAAGTAACCAGACGGTGATTACCTTTAACTGTGTGTTTAGACGTTAGTACGTGTCTGACTTTGTCTCTAATTTTTGTTTCTCCAGTGTGTCTGAGAGAGAGAGAGAGAGAGACATAGAGAGAGAGAGAGGATACGTTTCCCTGCGGCGATACGTGTCAAACAGTGCAGTATTGTTATAGTAGTTATTTGGATTATTGATAGTCTGTTTCTCTCTCTCACCACACACACACACACACACACACACACACACAGTCTGGTTTTCAGGAGTTGTGAGGACTTCCCTAACCTCTTGCCCTAATCTGGCTCTAGCCCTAATCCTCATCCTAATCCTAACCCCCAAACCTCAGCACCCTGTCCCCCAGACAAAGGGTCTCCACAACAAAGCCTGTGAGTGACAGTCCAGTGTGACAGTGGAGCAGAGCACAGCTGGACACAGACTGTCAGCACTTCCTCCTCCTCTCTTCCTCTCCTCACTCCTCCCCTGTCCTCACACCGGACCCTTCCCACTCACCTCCCCGTCTCTCCAACGCTTCCTCTGCCCTTTGCTCCCTGACTGGTGACACTGACCGCCTGCCTGTCTGTCTGTCTGTCTGTCTAATTCTCCCATGGCCTCCAGCACGGTTTACTGTCTGTAATAATTCAAACTGAGAGAATTACGATGTCACCACGTCATTAACTCTGCAACGACGTAATCGGTTTAATTGTGACTAAAGTGGAGTTAAATGACACCCGACGTACGACTGAGTCGTTAAAACTAATGTTGAATCGTTTGGTTTAATAATAATTTTATATCATTTTTCTAAAACCAACTACTTCTACTTCCTCTTTTGATGTTGTTTTTTTCAACTCTCAAAATATCAGCGACATCACATTTAAACAAAGTTGTATTTAACCAACAGTGAATTTCTTGCCGTCCTGTCACTGCATATATTTTTGGACGGTCAAAGAACAAAATGCACAATTTTGAGTGTGTAGCTCAGTTTTACTCCCCTCTAGTGGCTGATTTGCAGTAATTCAATTCGTCAGTCCTTGTTTTTAGCGTGTAGCTACAACAAACCTTGTTTTTTGTAACTCTCGTCATATGACTTGGTCCAAACATTTTTTCCCCCCATGAATAAATGTCTCATAAATTTAACCATTGTCTCATCCTTCAGCTATTTCTAACTTAATGCTATAAAACATTTGCAACACAAGATTCTGAGAGAAGAACTGCCTCCAGTGTTCGGTTTTCAAAACGTCATCGAATTTGCAGAATTTATTTTTATTTCTAAAATGCCTGACGAGTCAAATGATACACACACAAAAAAAATCTCATAAACAAAATTATGTGACTATTTTAAAATATATTTTTATTATAATGTTTCATAAAGAACTTTGAGAATTTTCTGAGGATTATTTGATGTGTCAGGCTTTAAAGGTTAAAATAATCCGATCTCTGGTTTCATCTTGTTCCATTTCTACCTTCGACCCTCACTGAAATACCGTATTTCCACCCAGTGATGGCGCTGCCAATCCTCTAAAGATTTCGTGAAAACACAGACAGGGGGCGGTGTTCAGGCCACTGAGTGAGTGCCCCACGGTGGCCATGCACTGAATGACTCTGCGTTTCTGACTGTGTATATATTTACTCTTGGTGACAGGTGGGAATGTGTGAGAGGTGAGAAGTGCGAAACCCAATTCGGCGTCAGATACACACTGGACGACATACACACACACACACACACACTTCCCCTCACACTTAGGCAGAAATCTTCACACACCACACACAGACCACCGTCCCTCATCTGTCTGCCCCCTCCCCTCGCCTCCCCTCCCCTCTTTCTTACCCATTCACCTCACAGACTATCACGTTAAAATCAAGATTTAAACTGATATTTAAAAATATTAAAAATGATAAAGTATTGTAAATACAAGGTTTTGTATTGTTTAATCCTGTGAAAAAAACTCATTATATACGTAGTATCGCAATCTATCGTATCCTTGCCCCTTGTATCGTGATACGTATCGTACGTATTTCGACTTAATTCTTGCCAATAAACACACCTAGAATATAATGTTCTAGCTCAGTGCTGGGTTTCCCAAAATGGTCGGGGGGGGATTAAAAGGGGGGAGGGACATGAAGAGAGGCAAGCCAAAGGGAGGTTAAGGGGGAGGTTTGGGGATGGGTGAGTCGGTAGGACGTAATCAAAATCAGTTAACAGCTTAAATTTGCAAATACACAGAATGCAGTAAAAGTCGGGGAAAAAAAGTGAAAATCACTCCTTACTGCTGTGGTACAAACATACACAAATTAAGTTTTTTTTTTAAATTTGCAATTAATTGTAAGTTAGTAAGTTAATTTACCCTTTAAAACCAACGTGTCATATCATCAATATAAGATTCTCAGAAAGAAAAAAAACTGTCTGAAGTGAGAGCAAAAAGTCGCCAAAAACTTCCAAAAAATGATGTGGAAATTTTGAAAAAATTTGTTATGTTTCATAAAAATCTCTGGAATTTTCTGAAAAGTTTTTTCATGTGTCAGACTTTACTTGAAGGACCATTAAAATGACCGAGGACCGTACAATTATTTGTGACAAAATAAAACAACCTCACTGTGGAAATGACTTTATAAATAAAAAAACCTTTTTCTTCACTATTTACTTTATTCACTCTGTGTTTTTCTGCCTGTAGCTGCTGTTCTTATTGTACATTTGTTCTATTGTGTTAACGTTCTTCCCACTCTTCCTCCGACTGTTTGTTTTAGACGTCAACATGATGCTGCGAATGATCGCGGTGAAGGCAGCCTCCAAGCCGCAGGTGGAGATCTCACAGGACGGAGAGACGCTGTCCATAAAAACCTCCACCACAGTCCGCACCACCCACATCACATTCACCGTGGGGCAGGAGTTTAATGAGACCACGGTGGACGGACGTCCCTGCACGGTACGCACAGCATGACCGGACAAAACTCTGCATGTTTCCTTCTTACTCTGTGTATGCAGTAGAAGGCCTTTGTCCAAGACACATCAACCTGTTTGGTTTGGCCTGCGCTGCTGTTTGGACTGATATCATACCTCTGCTCTCTGAAGGCCTGTAATCCGACAGTGTTCTCCCTTCGTCCTCCCTTCAACCTCACCCACTCCACTGCGTCCCTCCACCTTGGCCTTTCCTGACCTCCGTCCCTCCCTAAGTCTCCATGTCGCTTCTCCCCTCGTTCCCACAGACGGCCTCTGTTTGTCCGTCTCCAAAGCAAACACGTTCAACCGGCCAGAGCTGCGTTGCGCTAACGATGAGCGCATCGTACAGTTATCACCTCTCGGTGATCACTCCCCCCCCACCTCCCCCCCCCCCCCCCCGTTCCCACCCCTCCCTGTCTCTGTGATCGCTGCACGCTTATTTGAGCATTTACGCATTAACATGGAAAATATTTTTCCTGTTTTTTTTTTCTCTCCCTGCAGAGTTTCCCACGTTGGGAAACAGACAGTAAAATCAGCTGTGAGCAGACTTTGCTGAAAGGGGAGGGGCCTAAGACGTCCTGGACCAGAGAGCTCACCAACGACGGAAAGCTGATACTGGTACTTTTTTTAATTATTTTGAACGGGTGGTTCTCAAACTATGGTTGGTGTTCAACTGTTGGTACACAAAAAAAATTATTTATTTTTCTTTTTTAAGACAGGAAATATTAACATGACCAGCAGAAACCATGTGTCCCATCATGTGCTAACGCTAATACAGATCTGTTAACGTACCGTTAGCAACAATACAAGCAGCTTCTCTGGACAATGACATAAAATCCTCTTCTCCATTTTCAGACCATGAAAGCCGACGACGTGATTTGCACCAGAGTCTACGAACGAAAATGAACTACAGCACTTCGTACTTTTTGTCCCTCCTGGCCCTGAAGAGTCCCTCATCCTCCCTCATCCTCCCCCCTCTTCACCCCCAAATGCCCTCACAGCACCACTGGAGTCACAATGCCCGACTATCCAGGCGGCGCTGGGCGACAACATTGTTTAGTTTTTTTTTTTTTTCCTCCTGCATTTCTATTGCCTTCGCAGCTTTCTTAGCGCCGTAACTGTATCCACTGTTCCACATAGTTACAACAGAGTCGTCGTCCGAGGTACTGGTCTGTCTGGCTCTGTCTTCTGTGACAGCCGGGTGTTAAACATACTGTACACGGGACTCGCTTTTGTGACAGCTCATGTATTTGGTGTCATGCTTATGCATGTGTGTGTGTGTGTGAGAGAGAGAGAGAGAGTGTGTGTGTGTGTGGCACTAGAAGAGATACAGCCCTGTATATGTAGACGTAAACCTATATCTTTGAGGTCTTCCAGTTCCAGGTCAGTTTTGACGTCACCCCCCATTTTTGTTTTGTTTTATCTCTTTCTCATGATGACATTTTATATTTATTACAACACCGGTGTCTAATACAGTACTTTTTTTTAACAAAACGTGGTCACAGCAGTCAACACTTTCTATGTGAGAACAATAAAGCACCAACTCAGCTCCAACTGTTGGCTCTTCTTCTTCACTCTGAGTCTGAGACCGTGTGTGTTTGTCTTTTATGGTTTGTGAGTGTTGCTGCAGAATATGTGCACATTAAATGGCTCCGTCTTATTTTAGTCTTTCTGTCAGCTGTCTGCAACTAGAATAACTCGTCTGCCCCCCCCCGTCCCCCCCTCCCCCCTCTGCTCTCTCTCACTTTTTCTGTCTTTCCACTCGTGCCTTCCGTCTTTCTCTGCCAATCATTTCTGTGCCACACGTCCTCATTATTCCACCCTCACTGTGGTCCTCTGTGTCCGGTTCATCACTGCTGTCTGTCCGCTCACTTTAATTTAAAGACACATTTCTGCAGAACCCTCGGACTGACAGACGCACACAGTCGGCCGTGGAGAGGCTACGAAAAACAGTTTTATTTTATTATTTAACCATTAACATTTAGCGTCATTATATTTTCCACAATGCACTTTTCTTACTGAGAAATGCAACTTAAAACACGTTCATTTGGTTTCACTAAGAGTGTGCGTGCGTGTGTGTGTGGGTGTGTGCGTGTGGACCACATTTTTTTCCTGAGTTGCAGCATAATTGACTGTTGCAGGCTACATACCTCCACTGCACTTCATTATACACATAATAAAAACAGTAATGAACAGCTGCGTCTGAGACTAGTCCTGTTGTTTCACTGTTTCGCCGAAAGAAAAACAGCTGTTTGTTCTGATGGTTGACTCAACTTGACTCAAGTTTCTGATTGCCCAGTCAATTAAAATATTTAATTTAATTAATAGCTGTAGAAAGTATAGCTGTTAATGAATCCTAATTAATGATTAATATAGATGAGTCAACATTCATACCTGAGGTAACCTGGGCTGTGACAAATAACAGCAGCTAGGTGTCAGTGTTTCACACCTGGTTTTTGTTTGTGACTGAGCCAAATGATTGGATTATAAAAAATAAAAAAAAAAATATATAGAATATATATATATATATAGAATATTATATATATATTTAATATCATTAATTCCACAAATTAATTATTATGATAAAGACGTTAACGTTCATAGTCTTCTAGGTATGAATGAGTTTTAATAGCAGTAATTTAATTTCTTTCATTTCCCAAAGGGAACTCCTGAGGGATAAATAAAGTTCCATCCGTCCGTCCGTCCGTCCATCCATCCATCCATCCATCCATCCATCCAGTAGTTACAATGAAGTTTTAAATAAACCTGATCTCGTTTCCTCCAGTGTGTGTGAACTTCACCTAAGACACGCCAACATCAAGTGCGAACCCACACCACATTTGTTGTTATAGTAACTACAGATGGCGATGACACACACAAAGGTCAACCCGTGACCTCTGTGAGACAGACAGACAGGGGACCATGTGACTGATCACCAAATGGTCAGCGATGGGAACG